TTCTAGAAATAGGTTTCATCTAGCTTCCTGTGTGTGATTTTGGGCTTGAGTCTGAAGCAGGTAGCTACCAATTAAGTTTGTATATCCTGGATGTATTTAGCAAATTGTGGGCCTTTAACTTCTCCAAGATCCACTACATATGACATTTGAAATGTTTAAAGATTTTTTTCAGCGAACCATAACCATTCCTAATATTGACCTTTCAAGTCTCCAAAAAGATAATTGGGCCCCACAATTAAAATTCCACCTGGATTGTGGTAACACCATTAAGCTGACAAACACTACCCAAGCATCAATTTCATACTACAAACTTCTCATGACAACTGCAAAACTGCTAGCTGAGAGGGTCCAGCCTCACAGACTACTCTAGCCAGAACTTCAGATAAGGCCTGCTCTCTCCCAGTACACAGAGACTGTATAGAAAATGTTACAAATAGTTTCCCAGGACTTGACTATTACTTCAATTTTTATTTCATGATCCCTGAAAGATGCTGTCATCTCCAGTCATCAGGAAGTAATTTCATGAACAGGACACCCACATTCCTAAGAGGTAGGGTGAATGGTTCTTGGTCATCTGATGGGTTATGGCTGTTTGTCTTCTTTTAGAGGGGCTGGTTGCATATTGTGACTGGTCATAGTAAAGGAGAAACCTAAAAATAGCAATTATATTTATGGATTTCTTTATGAAAAGAAAAACTAGGAATAGAGCAATGATAGGATAAAAGGGTAGATTATTAAAACTACTTTAAACAAAAAAACTATTAATTTCAAATATTTCATATTGGCATGGATTTTTGTATATTGATAGAAATTTTGTTTAAGTTAGTATACCTATACATCTCATTTAATAATGTAATACAAATTTCTACTTCTTGAAAGTTGTTATTGCAAATTATTTAGGATAATTATAATACATAGGTTAGTAGTTAGTCATCTAACAATCAAATTTATGGCTGTGTTAGGTATGTTTTCAAGGTCAGAGATACATTTTAAATAGATATATGGTCTTCAAACACTTCGAAGACCTTCAGAATGTGACATTTAAAATGTTTTAATAGCATAAGACTTTTCATAACCGTAAGACAATGTCTGCTCCTGGCATCACCAATTTACTTCAAAAAGGATGATAGACATTGAAGATTCTCCACATGGAGTTTGCTTTGTATGTGGCAAAGCTACCCATTTGGGCAATAAACCCTTGCCTTGACTGCTGACAGTATGCTGTCCAAAATGGACAAGCAAGACATCAAAGAAGGCAACTGCCAAACTTTGCCAAGACAATGTAGGACAATCCTTCAAAATTACTGCTTCAGAAAAATTCTGTCAGATAGTCTATACCTATAGGAAGAAAATGGATGCTTCAGTGTTACAGAGGAACCTTGGGTGAATGTCCAGGTAGCCAAATATCTTTGTCATTTTTATAGTTTTGAAAGTTGTTTACTATACACTTCCCATTTACTCAAGTAATATTATAGCCTTCTCAGGTTTCTGATGAGACTTAAGACTAGAAAGCGATAATTACAGTTTCTTTGTTACCAAATACATAAAAGAAACTTACAAAAGAGGTATAAAGTGTATAAGGTTGAGAGAAATAAAAGCTTAAGTTGTTTATCTAAGAAAATTTTTTGAGGTCTAAAAAGATAGCTTTGGGTTGGGAATACAAGTTAGGATAGAAAGTGAATTAGATATAAAACTTTGACTCACCAAGATAGGATAGATAATAGAATATTTTTCTCTAAATTCCCCAAATACAGACAGAATGGACATTGTAAGTATAATTCTTATGTGATAATTGTTCTTATTATATATAATTTTACTGTGTTAGGGTTAAAAACCTTCCCTTTTATTTAAACAAAAGTAGGAAATTTGTGGGATATTTGTATACTGTGAAGATGTATTTCTGTGATTGGTGTAATAAAAACCTGAATGGCTAATAGTTAGGCAGAAGATCTTGGTGGGACTTCTGGGTAGAGAGAAAACTCTGGGAAGAAGAAGGGCAGGGTCACCAGCTAAATGCAAAGGAAACAGGGTGGGCAGTACAGAGTAAAGGTAACTGAGCCACATAACAGAACATAGATTAAATATATGAGTTAATTAAAGTCATAAGAACTAGGTAGTAAAAGATATGGGTTAATCTAAGTTATAAGAACTAGTTAGAAACAAGCCTAATCTATGGCTGAGCTTTCATAATTAATAATAAGTCTCTGGGTCATTTTCTGCAGGATGGTAGTCCCTACTAGAAACTTCTGCTACACTATAGTAACACAGTGTCACATTTGCTGGCACCTGCTCCTTGTGAGCAGTCCCCAAGGGGAGCACTGGCATGGGGGTAGGTTGAAATTAGGGGCTTGCTCTTAATAGCTCCTACCAACTGCATAAAGTCTGCCTGTGAGATTCCTAGGATGCAGGCTCTTTAAAACAAACTTTTATTATCAGGTGTTCTTTTTATATCACAGAAGTTTCATATTGGGGTCTTTCCATTTTTATTAACTGAATTATCTCTTCCTTGACTCCTCCCCTAGGGTGCAATAAAAACAATTTATAGGGTGCCTGGTATATTACGTAGCTCCAGATCTCATTAAGCTCCTCATTGATGAGAAAGACTATTTGCACAGGGACAGAACAGAATGACTCAGCAAAATTATTTC